ACTGCAGCTCACCCGGGATGTTGAAGCTTGGATCCAGCTGCTGTTGACACCAAGCTACCAAGCTCCAGTGAGCTGGGGCCTGTAGCAAATTAAGAGAGCTCTTTAGTACCTGAGGATGTTTTGAACTCTCCTGGAAACTCTTCCTGTCCATTGCTGGGTGCAGCCTCAAATAACTCTGGAGGGGAACTCTAGTTGTCAAAAAACTATTACCAACACATTTTGCTACCAGTGAAGTTACTGACAAAAGTACTGTTTTTGCTGCTGTATCAGAATGTGCTTCCTCCAGTATAGCATCCCTGGGTAGCAAATTCTGCCACTGCCACAATTGCTACCCATTTGTGACTGCCCCAGCAGGGCAAGCAAAGGATCAGATGCCACATGCATGTGTTCCAGTATTTCCCAGTCCTGAAGGGGGTCAGTGGGAAGGGTGGGAACTCCCCGGTGTAGCTCAGTGTCATGGGGGCACAGGAAATGAAACAACAACAGGGAACATTTTCAAAAGTTCAAAGGCCATGTTTTACAAAAGCGACTTAGAAGCATAAGGCCCCTTGAGGTTCAATGAGACTTAGGCTCCTAAGCACCTCAGGTCTGCTCTGCACACTGGTTTGGTACCACAATAACATCAGCTGGGATGAAGGAGGGGGCTCGTTACTAGTATCAACCAATCAGTATAACCCCGGTGTGTGTGTGGGCGCAGTTATGCTAGAATAAAGGTGCTTATACCATAACAGCCGTTTCCCTTCCCTTATAGAACTAAGTTCTGGTGATTTAAAACCTTTATCCCTGTATAACTGCATCCACACCATGAGGATGGGTTGCCACTAGTGTTCCCTGTAAACTGAGCATTTGTGCTGCCACAGAGGAGAGATTCCAATGCCACTCAGCTGATTAGCAGCGTGCCCACAGCTAGGTTTGTGTTTGGCGCACATTTGCACATGCCTTGGTGCACATAACATTTATTCTGCCCACCAATGGAAAAGATTAGAGGGAACATTGGTTGCCACCATAAGCACTAAAGCAGTACTTCTTTTGTGTGGGAACAAGTACAAAGTCACTTTTGAAAATGGGTCTTTGGTTCCTAAATCAATGAGGCACTTTTGGAAAATTGACTAAATATGGCTAAATCCAGAACTCAGCCTGCCTCCCCCATAAATAGTACATAGTCAGAATATTTTATATGCCCCCCAAAGATACAGCATGCAGTTGAAATATCTGTCATAATCACATCTTCTAAATGTGATGTATAAAAATAACAACCCAAATTGGCAAGCAAGACCACCCTGCTTTGTAGGGTGACAAAATTTCAAACTCATCCTTTGTCTTTTATGTCTGAATTTAACAGCGCATCCTGCCATGTTTTTAATGCCACATCGGATATCTGCAGAGATGCACTGAAACAAAAATGACACAAGAACAAATGGATATAAGCTGGCTAGTAGGAAGTTTAGACTTGAGATTAGACAAAGGTTTCTAACCATTAGAGGAGTGAGGTTCTGGAACGGCCTTCCAAGGGAAGTAGTGGGGGCAAAAGATCTATCTGGCTTCAAGATTAAACTAGATGGGTTTATGAAGGGGATGGTTTGATGAGATAACATGATCTTGGTAATTAAGGGTATGTCTACACTACCACCCTAGTTTGAACTAGGGTGGTAATATAGGCAACCGGAGTTGCAAATGAAGCCCGGGATTTGAATTTCCCGGGCTTCATTTGCATAAAGCCAGGCGCCGCCATTTTTAAATGTCTGCTAAGTTTTGGATCATCAGATTTGTATTTTCACTTTTATTTACTTGTAATCATCTCTACTTTTATTTCTTTTACTTGGCATTACTTCTCCTATCACTTATTGTTAATAAACTGGTTTTTATTTTTAATATAAACCAACTCATTGTTGTGTCTGAAGGGAAGGGTATACCTACCTTCATTAAATTAATAAGCTATGACGTGTTTTTGTCTTTTAAAGAAGCAATCACATTTTATTTCTCTGAATGGTTCAGGAGGAGGCTGGTTCAGGGTACATGGTTTTAGGGAAATTCAGGACTGGGAATGATTTGGCGGTCACCCTGCAAGTAGTAGCCAAGGCTAGTGGAAGCCAGAGGCGGGTGTGAGGGGCTGCAGACAGACTAGACTGCAGGGATCAGAATTGCTGGACCAGAGTTATCTAGCACACAGAGAAACAATCAGTGTGACTGACAATTTGGCATACTTGTAGACTGGCTGTGAGTGTCCCAGGTTGGGAGCTACAGCAGCAGTACATTGTAAAGCATCCCGGATTACATGTTGGATGACCGGACAGCAAGTGTGAAAAATCAGGACAGGCAGTGGAGAGTAATAGGTGCCTATATGAGACACTCAGGACATCTGATCACCCTACCTGCAAAACAAACTGCGACATGCATCTTGTACCCTGAGACAGTAGCACAAGTAATTAATGCTACTCAGTACTTTCTAGAATATTCTATTTTGCAAAACTTTAATGTTTGGGCTGAAATTTTTATGCTGGGTGTCTGTCTCAGGCTGAATTGTTTTGTTTCTTTGAGAAAGTTGCAGCTAAAATAGTTTAGCCATTTAATTTCTGAGAATGATATGAGGGATACATAAGTTGTTTTGCCCATACAAAAATATTTGTAAAACTATTTCATTGAGAAGCCCTACTACCTCTATGGATTGGAGTACAGACTTAAAAATTTGGCACGGCTGTTTTGGTAACAGGGTGCCTCTTGCCATCCCTATGAGAATTTCTCTAAATTCTCTAAATCCATAAAAATTGCAGTTTGCACATGCTTAACAGAGACTTGTTAGCTATGAGCAGCTAAATTGTTCAAAGATTCCATCCTCAATGAGCAGAGGAGAGGCTGGGGCAGAGAAGGCAGGTGGGAGCAGCACTGATGTAGGGCTATGGACAGGCAAAACTGATGGGAGTTGACAGCAGAACTGTTGTGGGAACAGTGTGTTTTGGGGACAGAATTGACGTGGGGGAAACTGATGTGTGGATTGTAGGGAGAGAACAAATATGGGAGTAGAAGTAATGGGGGCTGGCGCAAGTACCTAAAAGGGTGTCACAAGGATGAGAGAGAGAAATTGTTCTCCTTGGCCTCTGAGGATAGGACAAAAAGCAATTGGCTTAAACTGCAGCAAGGGAGGTTTAGGTTAGACATTAGGAAAAACTTCATAACTGTCAGGGTGGTTAAACACTGGAATAAGCTGCCTAGGGAGGCTGTGGAATCTCCATCTCTGGAGATATTTAGGAGCAGGTTGAATAGACATCTATCAGGGATGGTCTAGATGGTGCTCGGTCCTGTAGGGAGGGCAGGGGCCTGGACTTGATGACCTCTCAAGGTCCCTTCCAGTTCTAGTATTTTATGATTAATATTGACTTGGGGCTTGAGGAACAGACTAATGGCTGAGCAGGAGGACAGGTAACGTTAGACCCCCCCCACACGTTTTTCAGGCCAATTAGTTACTATCCCCACCCCTTGCACCTCCCTTTTCTCAGTTCTTCACCCCTCTGCATTCCAGATCACGTGGTTTCCTCCTACTCCTCCTTCATACTCCCTGAGTGCCAGCTGGGGGAGCATTGAGAGCAGGGGAGAGACTTTTTCTGTGCTGTTACTTCCTAAGCATGATGCCACAGTGGCCTCAGGCCTGCAGGAAGAGCAATTGCAGAAAAATACAACTCATACCATCTGCCGATTAAGGCAGTTAAATTCTGTCCTCGAGAACTAGATTCTATCCTTGCTTCTGCCACAGAGTTTCTGTGTGATGCTGGGCAAATCACTTAATTCAGACTTTTCATAGGTTGCCAGTAACTGTGTTTTCCTCATTTTCTGGGTGCCTGACTTGAGATCCTGAGATCTGATTTGAAAAGAGCTGAGCACTCACAGCTTTACATGAAGTCAATGGAAGCTGTGCTTAAGACATACAAAGGCCTATATAACACTAAGTACTCTGGAAAATCAGGAGTCAGGTCGCTCAAATTAGGCATCCAACATTATGGATACTTTTGACCATAATCTCTCTGTGTCTCAGTTCCCCATCTGTAAAACGGTGGTAATAATACCTACTTACTTTACAAAGGTATTGTGAAACTTAATTAACTGTTTTAAGCACTCAGATCCTAGAATGATGAATGCCATAGAAAAGACCATGAGGAAATTACAAATTCTGTTTTCAAAGCAGCGTTTGAATGGTGTCCAGTAAATAAGGCACAAGACACGCATTAAACAATATAGATAAAACTCATTATTGAATTGCTACTCATTAAATCAATATCATCCATTCTATGGGCTTGTTTTAACCTAGGTTGTAAGTCTAATTTGTATATAAACTATCAGCAACATTCTTGTTGTCAGCTACAGTAAAACTCCAATTGTCCAGCATCCAGTTATCCAGCACTCCTGATAGTCTGGCATCAACTGAAACCCAGAACTGCTCAGAGCAGCTGCTCTCACAGGCCACTGTGAGCCACATGTGCGCTCACGGCCCTCACTGTTCCACTCACGGTCCCCAGCAAACATAGCGTCCAGCCTGCACATGCAAGCAGCCGGCCGCTGAGCACAGGCAGCTGCTTCGGGACCCGGACATAAGGTTGAGGAAGAAGGGGGATTGGGTGACAGCAGGGAGGGGAAGTGTTTGGCTCTGGGGAAGGGAAAGGGAGGGGAGGATGGATTGGGTTGTGCACGGCGTCCCGGCCAGCTTATTGAAAAGCCGGCCGCTCAGCGCACGTGCCCTAGCGCCTGGAGGGAGACGCGCAGCTGTACCAACGGCTTCGGGATTCAAGCATAAGGGGGGGAGAGGTATTGGGTTGGGAGTATGCCCCCTTATAGTACCTCTTGGTACTCCGGCATATCTGATAATCCAGCACCATCTAGGTCCCAAAGGTGCCGGATTATTGGAAGTCTATTGTATATGTGTAATCCGCCAGTACACTGAACATCATTTCTATGCTTTTGCTTTCAAAGTTCAGAGTTGCATTCAAATATAAAGACAAATCCAGACTCACATCTCTCATCATTTTTACAGCTTCCCTGGTCCTTCCCAGCTTCCTTGCACACATTGCCAGCCTCCGTTTAATGTATACCAACACATTGGTATCCCGTCCTGCAGGAGGGAAAAAGAAAACAAAAGATTAAAAATAACAGATAAAGCAAAGGCCCATTTAACTTTCCCACATAGTATAAACTGTAGCTATCCCACAGCATTCTTATAATATTTGATCAACAAGGACACTATAGAGAATTCAGCAAAGAGCCTGGGCCAAATTCTGTTGTTAGTTACACTGGCCTAAGTCTGGTATGACTCCTCTGAAATCAACAGAGTTACTACATATATATATATATTGGTATTAATAAGAACATCATTTGGTCCGATGTCTATGAAGCGCTCAAGATACAGAAGTGTTCTAAACATGAGAAAACTACAGCATATAACTATCAAAGAAGGGGAATTAATACATAAAACAAATGCACAGTGTTATAGTTAACAACAAATTAGTCCACTTGTCAATTTATTAACTAGTGTAGCAATCAAGTGCTACAGGGTGGCTATAAAAGTGAACATCAACTTCTGCCTTAGGTTTTTTTACGGGTAAAAAACCAAACTCTTAATAAGGAAAGGATGTCCATTTTGAACTTCTGTTTTACATTACTGTTGCCCTATTGCTTGTGACATCATAATCATCTTCAGATCCCAAGAGCAGCCAAGTACGGATTGCAAATTAACAGGTTCCAGATATTACAATATTATAGAAGAGAAAATGCCCTGATAACAAAAAAGGCACCAGAAAGTAAATAGCTACAGCTATGGCTCTCATAGAACATAAGCTATTAGATTCTTGTCTCATTCATTCTCTGACTATAATTATAATGTGTCCTTCTAACATGCTTTTGGACCAACAGGAAATGTGCATATAGTTAATCGTCGATAAAATTACCATATAAAGAAAATATAACACACCTGCTAGAGATTATCTTCATGTAGAATATGCAGCCTTTAAAGATTTTCAGACAATAGTCCTAACATATTCAAGTTTTTAATAATAAGAACAAGATGTGTGCTGAAAACATTCCAAGTACCTACAAATTATTTTAAAGCTGTGATTATACTTTTCAGATAGATTAAGAAACAGGTTGAAAGGTCTGACTTTAGAAGAGAAAATAAATAATGCAGAAGAAGGAATTTCTTCAGCTGTATTTGATATTATGTCATTCCTTATCTGTGTATTGATTCCTACATATTTAATAAAAGACTCATTAGTTACATCTGTTTTCAACATGTGTATATATGGTGTAACTAATAGGGTAAATATGTCAAACTGGAATGCCTTAAGAGTTATAATGATTGAAGAAATGGCCATGTGTATTTTCTCTTTGTGACATCAAGACAACCTTTGCATCAAGATTTTCAAAAAGGGCAGTGATTTGGGATTCCTCATGTAAGACTTCTAACAGGCTCTTTAAAGGGAAGGTGGGCAGCACTTTCTTTAATACTCAGGGCCTTTCAAGACATCTCAGTTTTCTGGAAAAGCAGCCTGTCCTTGTGGGTGTTTGGAACCAGGGTGGGCCAAAAGCCCTGAATCAGCTCTCATAAGGTCCCTGTAAGAGAGGAATGGGCAATAATTTTTGCAGGGGAACTACTTCATGAATTTTGGTACATAGTCACAGGCCGTGACTGGCAGTGTGGGACAGTGACATTGCTGCTGGGTAAGTTTCTGAGAGGAGCCATGCTCTGTTTTGTTAAGACAGGGAAAGCTGTCCTTCTTGACTCTACCCTGTCCCATCTGCAGAGATGTGTGGGGTGTATGTGTGACAACTGGAATCTTAGAAACAGTGCACTGCCTCTTAAGACAGGCACTCCTCTGAGTCACTTACCATCCATGCTTCAGACTGGAGTAGCACCGCTGTAAGTCTGCCTTTCCCCAGCCCCTGCTCTGTAGAGATGGGGTACAGGCGCAGGGGAACACACTAACTTTAGTATTCCCCTCTTCCCTCCATCATCCCCCTGCCCCCACTCTGCACAGCTAGCAGGACAATTCTGGGAGCTGCTCAAATGTAGGACAGAACAAGGTGAGGGGAGGGACAATTGAGCACACACTGCTGGCTGTAAGTATGCACGTCTGCTAATCAGCTGGATGGCATGCGTGGTGGGCTGGATTCGGCCCCTGGGCCTGATTTTGCACACCCCTGCTATAAGGTATTTGGCTGGATAGCTGCAGTTCAGTGACTTCTCCCTCCACTGCTGTGCTGCTCCTGCCCTCTGCCTTGCAGCTCCTACTGGGAGCTGTCTGTTTGCTGTGAAGGGGGTGGGGGTGGGAAATGCTGTTACCAGGAAATCCGTCTCTCACCCCATCAGGCCTTCCACTCCATACCCCATTTCTGCAGGGAAGTGTTTGCAGTCACTGCCATGGGTCTATTGTGTTTCCTCCTTCCTGCCTCAGTCCATGCTACCTCTAGAGCGCAAATCTACATTAACAACATTTTAACCCTTGGAAGGTTCAGCCAAATGTTAATTTGTCATTTAATAGCAAGATATTCCTTAGGAAATATTCCACCCTCTGACTCTACCAAGCTTCACAATCATCCTTGCTGTGTACAGTATTAAACTGTTTAAAACTTATGCTGCATAAGAGGGAGTTCTCCAGATAAAGGAAGAAGCTAATACAGGACCCTTAAGGGAAGTGGTCTGTCTAGTGTGTCATTGTGTTTGTGATTTTTTTTGCTGTGTGCTGAGCTTGTGTTTGGCTGTTTTGTTTTGTTTTGTTTTGTTTTTTTCCCTTCCCCGCCCCTCATGGAGTGTGTGCTGTGGCTGGCAGGTGGAAACTGTGAGCTTCTAATCAGGGTTTGAAATCTAGAAGCCTCTGCTCATTGGTTGAGCTTTAATCAGGGGGTGGAGCTATCAGGCAGACCAGGGCTTTATAAACAAGTGAGTCAGCAACCAGGGGCTGTTAACATGGAGTTTGGAGAGAGAGTTGGGAAGGGAGTGAGATACACTCGCCATTCTTTAACATCTTTTCACTACACTCCTTCCCTTCAAGGAGGCATTGAATTACAACTGAGGAATCTCTCAGAAGGAAAGCAGGTATGGATGGTGATAGCTCTGCTGTGCCATGTTTGTCTTCCTCCCAGAAGAAAGAAGGGATTTCATCTGCAGTAAGTACAAGCTGGTCACCATTTTGGAAGAAAAAATTAGAAGATTGGAGGCCAAAGTATCGACCCTACATTCTATAAGATAGGATGAAAATTTCCTCGATAGAAAGCACCGTTTAATCCTGCAGGCACAGCAGGCTGAAGAGCCAATCAGGGCAGTATAGGACAAGGAAGAAAACTGGCAGCATGTAACCTCTAGAAGGAGAAGAACGCCAACTCAGGTATCCCCCCAATTCCTGGAGATGTAAGTAACCCCTTTCAGGGTCTCTCCTCAGGCACTGCGGTGGAGAATCCTTTGGCAGGGACCTCTTAGGAAAGAAATCGGAAGGAAACACCATCTACCGGAAGGCATGGGATGCGTAGTCCTAGGGATGGGGGTTTCACGACCACCACCCCCAAAAGAAGACAGGTGGTGGTGGTCGGGGACCCTCTTCTAAGAGGGACTGAGTTATCCATTTGCTGTCCAGACCTGCAATCTCGAGAAGTGTGCTACTTACCGGGACCTCGCATTCAGGATGTGACCAAGAGTCTTCTGAAAGTGATTAGACATTTAGGGTGTGCCTAGACTACATGCCTCCGTCGACGGAAGCATGTAGATTAGCCAGATTGGCAGAGGGAAATGAAGCCACGATTAAAATAATCGCGGCTTCATTTATATTTAAATGGCTGCCCCGCTCTGCCGATCAGCTGTTTGTCGGCAGATCGGGGCAGTCTGGACGCGCCGCGCCGACAAAGAAGCCTTTCTTGATCGGCACAGGTATGCCTCGTGAAACCAGGTTTACCTGTGCCGATCAAGAAAGGCTTCTTTGTCGGCGCGGCGCGTCCAGACTGCCCCGATCTGCCGACAAACAGCTGATCGGCAGAGCGGGGCAGCCATTTAAA